TTTAATAAGATACCTTGCAGACAGAGCTCCTAATAATTAACGAAATCTACAGATCATTAAAGTACTGATCAGTTTTATTTAAATGGAACACTTCTGCTACTACTGAAATATATCTCGAGGCAACTGGTTGGCCGCCAACCAGGAATTTATAGGCTCTGGAACAGCTTACTTTAGGTGATTATCACACAGTTAAACAAAAAGTTTGCTCATTGACTCTATGATCACTGGGTAATAGGGATTAATGGGTAACTGAGAAGCCTCAGATTAGTTCATTTGCTACTTTTTGAATGAAAAAGAAAGTACAAAGGTCTCTGTCCAGCAGATAGACTGTGAATGAACTCTCTCTGTGACTGTGTTTAGATCTCAGGGGAACTGTCCAAGGTCCTGAACAGAAAACAATACAGAGCAGAGCTGTCCACAGTGCTGACTGTGTTTCACTGCTTTTGCTTTGTAACATTAGTCAGAACAGACAACTCCACTGACACATCACCGTTTGAGATAGTCCTCACCCTCCTTTGTTTGTCTACCACATCCCACTCACCATACCAGTCAAACTGTGTTTTGACAAGGGTGTATAGAGAATGTTTTGCAAAATCCATCACTCTAGCACCCCCCCCCCCCTTAATCAAACCAATTCATGAAATTCTATTAAATGTCAGAAAAAATCTGTACCATTACAATGGCATTCTGATAATGTGTCATTATGATGTCATGTCATGTACTAAGGTAGCAGTGACTGCAGAAGCTGTACAGAGTTATCCTGTTAACCAAAGCAGTTCCTTATCCAGATGTATAGCCCTATAAACATGAACGAAACATTCATCCAATTTCCACAAGTAAAAATAAAACTGTAAATATGTTCCAGGTTCTTTACAAATTCATATTTCTAAAGCTACGGCACCTTCTACGGACATGCTCACTGACTGTAAACTTAGCATGAGGTTAAAGAGTTACAGTGGAATGTCTCCACAATGTTGTGATTTGAAAACTCCTCTGTTACACATTTACACTACAGTATATGTGTTTAAGAGTGGCTCTGCATACATGGACACATCGTCTTTTGAACAGTTTTACCACAGACACAAGATGCTGAAGAGATAGAAATTATTAATATATTATCAACACTCATGGAAATTGTTAGGTGTGGCTGTGTGCAGGCAGGAATAGGACCCAAGGTGCAGACTCCGGAGACAGAACTTAAACCAAAACAGCTTTAATGCTGAACTCAAACATAACATAACTGGGGAAAAAGGTCAAAAATAAACTAACACCGGCGGCTTGACAAAACACACAGCAAAATAAACGGTAGATCGCGACACAGACACAGAGAAACACTGGGCTTAAATACACAGAGGGAGCAATCAGGGAATGGGTAACAGGAGGGAAACACAGCTGGGGCAAATCAGGCCTAACGAGACAAGAGGAAGCAAAACCAGACACATTAACATCAGACATGGACTTTCAAAGTAAAACAGGAAACACATAACACAGACTGAACAAAGACACAGACTCATATGCAGGCACTACAAAGGGAACAGAGACATGGGAACAGGGCAGACACAAACACTGACTGAACACGGGGATATAGGAACTTAAGATACACATAGACGCGAACTAGACAAGGGGATGCAGGTGATAGGGGAGACAGAGCACTTAAAGAAGACAGAGACATAAGCCATAAGACAGAACTCAAAGAAACCAAAAACTAGGAAGTATAAATAATATCAAAATCTCAAAAACCCTGGGTCGACGACCCAGGCATCCTAACAGAAATGTCAAGAAGTGTCTGTTAAAGACTAATATACAGTCATTGCTCATATATAAATATATATATTACTGCTACTACAGTGATGTAGTAGTAGTTACAGCAGTGATAGCTGTACATGGTATAACAGTAACTGAATAATAAACATATCTGTATTTACAAATGACATACTAACAATTAGTAATGATATATAAATGATGAATTAAGCACTTGCTAACACCTTACTAGTGCCTAATAATGTGACATTATTATAAAGTGCTACAATGTATGTCTACTATGTTTAAAACCATACCCTATGGAATCTACATGTCCTTAGTGTTTATGTAAAATTAAACAGGCTGATTTTCCTCGTATTCTTTTGTTGGGAAATCATGTTGGGTTACAAATGTTAGATTGATCCTAGATGACTTCATTCTTCATTAGTTATGGTTTGCTCATGCAATAAATAAATTATTACTCATGCAAAGCAAAGAAAAAAAAGATTCACATCCACGCATTCATAAACACAGATAATATAGAAACTATGTGTTTAAGTCTTTTAAGTTGGCATTTTGTGTGTCAAATTAAGTGTTCTTGTTTATTCTAAAGGCAGTACTAAAAAGGCAAAAAGAAAGTTTTGAAATATATTGAAATGTATTTTAATGCCAATGTATTGCACTGATGTATAAGCTCAGCTATCTAGCACATGTAGTACACACTATAGAGTAATACTGCTTTATGGAGAAAAAAAAAAACCTGATGCATTTCATTTTACACCACCTTCCTTTTCTATTCCTGTGATGATAATTTTCCGGGTGCTCTAGTTTGTCAAAGGTAGACTGAATGGCAACTAGTCTCTACAATGATGAGAGCAGTAGCTCTCTGCAACCTCACGGTAATAATTTTTACAGCCTTTGCTTAATTAAAATGTCACATCCACTGTAGCAATATACAACAGAGTTCTGTGCAAATTAAAAAAAAATAGGCTGGCAGATGTGGCCTTAATGGCTTAATCATGCCTTTAAGTTCATTCTAGTAAAGTGTAGCCACAGATGAATATTGTTTTATCTCTCATATCCATGAGTAATGCCTAAAAACTATTTCATGTGTAAATTTAGAGACAGCTGCACTAGGAATGTTAAAACATCAAAATCTGACAAGTCAGAGAATCGAGCATTTCTGTGTGGTAGCCAGTGGGTAAACATACTCATTAATCCCAGGAAAAATTACAAGCCAATCCATTGAACTCACTTCACAGCTGCAACCACACAGTATGACAATTTCACTTAAATACTTAAATGAAATTGGATGTAACATTTAGTGTTACATTTAAACCTCTGGTAAATTTATATGATCTATATTGTTCTATATTACTGTCTGAGTGTCTATATTACGTTTAAATCTGTACCCTACATAATTTTAGCAGGATTACCAAGATTGACAAACACATTATTTTCTTAAGATGTATACAAATGTATATGTAGATGTTTCCTGCGCTTTGTCCTACTAGAATTTACTGAGGATATTGTACTAGAAGGAATTGCAAAGAAAGGATTCTAAATATGTTATGCTCAAGTTTAATACTAAATCCAATGTGGACTCTTAACTGATGTATAAATTTATATTGTATATATTTGGAGAGGCACATGAACACTTGTACAATTGTAATATTGTAAACCAAATATATATTTACATATGCATGTAATAAATGAAAAATATCCTAAAAGAAAAAAAGGGCTAATAACCAGTTTATTTTTTTACACTAATATGTAAGTAGCAGATATTGTAGGAAGAAAATACAGCACTTTAATCTCTTACCTGATGTAAGCCTTTCCCTTGACTTATCTCTCAAATATATTGATCTGAATAGTTGATCTCAACAATTGTTTCAGAAAGCAAACAGCTTATTCAGTGTTCAGAACTGTAAACACACCGTTCTTTATTGCCTTAGTTCCCGAACTCTGCATGACATTTTCATGTAGTATTCTAGATTGTTCTGCCTAAAGTATGTTTATCTTACCTCTTTGCCACTACCATCTTTTTTCTGCCTGAAAGTCTAATACTGAGAATGAATGCAGAAAGACTAAATTAAGGGACCCAATTTGAAGCAGAACCACTTCACTGATAAGCTGTACCAGTGATCTGTGAGAGCACTCAGGGTCTGCTACATTATGACAATACAGAGGAATAAAGCAGATGAAAGAGAATAGTCTGGCAAGAGCAGAAATCAGATGGGCAGAAGGAGGAAAAAACAATCTAAAGTCTAATTGTGTTATGCCTCACGGCTGCAAGGGAGTACGGAGGGACATATTTTCTTTCCTCACGTCGTTCAGCACAGTCCTTCGCCTTCACATTAATTTCCAACCAGTTCCATTTTTTTTCTTAGTGCATCTATTGAAAAAGTGACATCAAAGACAAATGGTAAAAAAACAAAAAACCAACCCCCCCACCCAAAACATTGGGTCTGACCAGAATCATACAGCACTTGCATTTGAGGCTATGCAGACTGCTAGATGTGGTGGATACCCACAGAGTCATTCCCTGCAGGAGCAGTATTATTAATATGTCATATTTTATGTCTTGACCATATACTATATATACCATATACTTATTGAGGTAAGTCTTGTGTTGAAAGTACACAGGCATTTCCATAAACTGGACTATCTCATCATTTTGGATTCAAATCTAGAATCCTGTTTGGCTTAAATCTTAAATTAAGTTAAATAACCAATACCAGTACAAAATGCTTGTAAAGGAAACTGAAATTTTCCAATCAATTCCACTAATGCAAATGCAATTCTTTAAATTATGTAAAACTACTTAGCAATGATGATTTCCTTTCCTTTTAACGTCTTATGTAATGGCAGTGGGTTACCATGACTGCAAACACATTTGGTGAGGCAAATTAAAACTATTATGTCCACTATTCTATATTTATGAATAAAAAATGGAATCTCAGGGAGAAACAATCCCTCGCATTTTAAGGACCGTTAAATAATGGTGGTGCAGAGTCAGATCAATCTCACATAGATCAGTGCTGATCGTCATCAATTTGTTGTTCAAATGTAACTAAAACCACACATGCACCGTGAAAGCTGCTGAAAATTGATTTTAAGTGTAAGCTGGGGATAGCAAACATGTTAATTATCTGTGATATATTATAAAATATTATATTATATATTATATTATAAAATAAAAAGGTTTTTTTATATCAAAATTCACAATTACAGAAAGACATGGATTTATAGTGACATACCTTGTTAGCTTCCCAATATCAAATGTCCATAAGTTGTTGTAGAAGCACAGAAACCCAGTGGAAAACGTGTAGTGTGACTCTATGCACGGGTCACTTACTCCAGGGTCTGAAATAAAACAAAAGAAACACAAATCAGAGCAGACATGGTGAAAGAGCTCATGACTTCAACGAGTCAGCATCCACAAATGCCCAGCGATCCAGGATAAACACCCTTGAAGAAACGTCACTCCAAGGAAGTACATTAGCTACCACACCCGGATGGTAGCCAAGAAAAGACTAGTATGACATACGCACAATATCTTTCTCCTTGCCTGGTCAACTTGATCTTTTTTCTTCCTAAACAGCTGCCAAAGAATGCCTCATTACGCCATCATTTCAGCTGGAGAAGACAAGTGAGCAGCATTTGCAGAGCGCATGCAATTCAGTTTTGCAGCCTCAGATAGTGAATGTGCCTTACTTGACTGTACAATGTTAAAATGCACATCAGCAACAGTTTTAAGATAACTCCACACTAGAAGAGCTGACTTTTTGTCACTCTATTTCACAGAAAGGCAGGGAGCCAAATATTTACTATTTTCTGTACTGTCTATTTAATCTGCAGTTGTCATTGCTTCATTGGTCATGAATGGCTGAGAGCAGCAAGCTTAGTTAATGATAATACTCCAAAATTAGTCATGTTTTTTTAATGGCCAATATAATATGTAAAACTATAGTTGACAAACTATAGTTGATAATCATGTTGCTAGGCAACCCAGAGTTGCAGTAGTGGTTTTAGCTTAATTTCTATGGGGTCAAAATGATCTCCTCAGTGGTTCTAGGTAGAAATGATTAATATTTTGATCTCATACCATGAAATTAAATATTTGATGAATAATACCCTTTTAGGAAAATTGAGGAAATATGATTTTATGGCATTTTGATCTAACAGAGCTACAGAAATTCTAAAATGCCAACATGGTCAAAATTACCCCCTTGGCACTTCCAGTGCTAAAGACTGAACTAGTATAACGAAGGGGAAATATCTTGCTGACAATCACTCTTTTTTCTTTATTAAATGGAAGAAATGTACAATATGAAGCGGTTAAGAAGTGAAAACAATATATCTAACTATGTTCATTAATGCATCCACTGGATAATAACAGATTATGAAACAGTGAAAGATAAAACATTTAGGGCTCAATGACCTTGATGCTAGGTGGAAATCACATACCATTCGAGTTCAGCAGCACTTGCTTAGTGATTCCACTTGCTAAGCCACATTTGAGATATTTAAATAGGCCATATATTATGACGAAGTTTTTAGGTTAATTTTACCTCTAACATAGTTCCCTTGGCTGCTGACACTTAAGGAGTGCTCACCTCTTCCACTGACATACCAGCGCTGCTATTTTCATCCCACCCACTGAACAGCCTAATCCACTGTTGAAGGATTTGTGTGCTGTGGTACAAAGCAATTGTGCTGTGGCGAAATGTGTGTGGCTTAATTGGAGCAAAGACTTAATGAGGGCCCTTCGAGGATTATGATCTCTGGTTTAGAAATGGCCCAGGTAGCAAAAGACACAGTCAAAAGGATCAGCTCACAGCTCTCAAAGTGGAGTGACTGTACTGAACTGAAACTGTGCCAGCAGAAGTGAAAGTTGTTTTTATGTTTTGTTTTGTTTTTTAAATTGTTGTTGTAGTTGTTTTTTTTTCTCCCCATTTGTTTGTTTGTTGTATTTGTGGGGAAGTTCTTGGAGAGAAGTGAACTAATGGGAAATTATCCATGGAAAATATGACTGGAGGAAAGTAATGGAGTGTTTTCTATTCGACTTTGGTGCAATATTAATAATTTGAACTTAAACAGCTCTAAATAAATATCTTTTTAAGTTCATCGTTTATTATTTATCATATTAGTCTAATGGCATGTAACATGGGGATAAATACTTTTTTCTACAGGTTTAATTATTTTATTATCTAAAATTGTTCTAATTCGAGAAACATACACTTTTGGCTGATTTGGATATGCTGCCACTATAGTATACAGACAAAGCAGACCCTTCACTAGCTCTCCAAGCAGTTTATTTCTTCAAGGAACCCATCTCCACCTGACAACCAAAGATCAGATATGACTGACCAAGATAAACGTTAGGCTCTAAAGTCAGATCAATTCAATCTAGCAACTGTCCTCGCCAGGAACAAAAGGCCACACTGTCAACAAGGCTCAACTCACCTCAGTCTTTTTGTCCTTGTTACGTAAATAATAGAGCCAATGAATAGCTTGCTTTTCAAAGATGATAAACTATCTTTCCCAAACCATAAATTGATGGCTATTTAATTTATATGCTTTTTGCTGCTGCATGATGTCCTTTCCTTCCAGTGAAGCCCCACAGCTACAAGTGGAACGAAATCAAACGTTCAATCACTTGCTTGTTTCCTTAAACCTACCCAGTTTATCATTGCTCCCCTGCAGAATTTATCACCTTGGTTCACTTGTTCATCTGGCATGAGTTATTTCAAATTTCTATTTTGTAGATTTCAAAGTCTGAAGTCAGCCAGATTCGAGAGCAGTCATCATCAGTTACGCTGTTAATCAGCTCAAGCCGCATTTTTTTCTTAATGTAAGCAGCCACAAAGGACAAGTCCAAGATTGCACATTGAACTGAGCTGATGACATAAATGTGCCAAATGAGGCTTTTAGGTATAGTACTATTGTGCAAATCTCAATTACATTGCACACACAACAAGAACACTAGTGACAAAGATTTCTGGTCTTCTCTCCACATTGTGTCCAAATGTACATTTGATGGTTAAACATATGCACTGGCATTGACTATAATCATATCAAATTTTCCTATTATTATTTTTTTCATAATACGCACAGTAGCTACAGCTCACTCACTTTTGTGATACTATGTTTCCTACATACAACTTCAAAAATCAAGGCAAATGTTGTAACTGTTTGATATTATTAACGCAAACGAAAACAAGTTTCCTTTTACAGAATGTATGATTAATTTAATACTTGAAACTGTCTTTTTATAGTGTTACTTTTGAGGACTATTAAAGAGCTGATTATAGTGAAAACTCCTTAGAGGTTTAATACAAACTCTGCATCTAGTTTGTGTTTTGTTTGGTTTACTGCATCATAAATGATGTACATTACCTCAAAAATCCAGAGAGTACCTTTTCTAATAACTAATGCAATGTAAATTACAAATACATTAGTTGAATTTAACATACAGCACAGATCACTTAATTTTAGACACTAAATTAAAGTATGACTGCTTAAAAACATGTCATGAGCATTTCTTCATTGATTAATCAACTTCAAGCAAAGAGCAGTAAACATAAAAAAAAATCAATCAAATCAATATCTAGTGTGTCCACGTTTTACCTCGCATAGATTTTTCAGTTATTCCAAGTGACGTTGAGAGCATGCTGAGACTGGACTGAAGAATAATCAGTGAAAAATAATTTATATTAAATGCATTTTAAAAGGAATGCATTTGCATTGCCAATAATAGATGATACTGTTAGTTAGTGTTTATAATAAAAAGCCAATGGAAATTATAACAGTTGACATTTTGCAACTTAATTGGACATTGCAGAGCGGCTATATGTTCATATTGCCACTTTATAAAAGGTGGTAACCTCTGGTCTCATTTTTATCCGTGTGCACAAGTGTACATAAAAAAGGAATCAAAAGGAAAGGTTTGTAAGGAAAGCATCAGTATTTTAAAACCTAAACAGACACAGATAAGATGAAGGAAATTCACCAGCTTTAAAAAAAATGTATTTAAAGAAGGGAGGAAAATATCCTGCTAAAAAATTGTGTATGTGTCCCTTTGGCCCCATGCTGAGAGATCAGTGTCCACCCCAGTGTAATGATGCCAGCGTCTTCCCAAAACAAATGTTTATTGCATGACTGCTTGCAGTACACAGTGCCTGACTCAGACTCCTACAGTTTCTCAACCTTGGGACGTTTTTTATGAGGTCACTTCTGAACAATTTGCAGTGAGACAACCAAAGATAGTGTGAACCTACTCTCTTGTATAGTCATTCTTTTTCATCTCATGATTCAATAGCTTGCAGAACCAGTAGCATTCACTTGAGGTAATAATTTTTGTATGCCTTTATCAGTCTTTCGCAACATAGTGAAAGAATTTTGGCCCACTCTCCTTTACTTTTTTGCTTTAGTGTTGTAAAGACCCTATAATATTACAAAGTGAATATTAAAAAGTATTAAAAAGACAACCCTATAGCAAAGCACCAGTCAACAGTGGGAAGGGAAAAAGATCCCTTTAAACAGGAAGTATGTAGGAACTGGTTGTACACCAATTTTTTTTGTCCCCCAACAGCAAAAGACATGACGGGACCTCTCAGGAGTCCTTGCTGGCACCAAGCGGCAATTGAGGAAACAGAGCTCTTCGGCATGCCAGGCAGGGTGCCAGCAGCAGTGAAGATGGAGGCTTTCAGGCGCCTTGGTTGGTAATGGAAGAGGCGATGGGACTCCTCTGGAGGCTTTAGTGGAGGCCAGCAATGAAGAAGATGGAAGCCCTCTAGAAGACAGAGTGACAAGGCAGGGTGGGATACCAGCAGCTGAGGTGGAGCTCATCTGATCGAGCAGGAGGCCAGTGATAACGAAGCAAGTGGGATCCCTGTGGTGGTTGTAACAGCATCGAAGGGGACCCTCTAGAAGCCAACAACTGCACTGAAAGAGAATCTCTGGAGTCCAGCGGTGAAGGTGATGGAATACCATGGGAGGCTTATCTGAGAACTGACAACAGCAACAAGAACCCTTCAATGACTTGGCAGGAATCTGGCAATAATTGAGCAGGCAGCATCCTTCAGGAGGCTTGGTCTTCTTGGCATGTGGAGACAAACTTGAGCTCTTGGGCTCAGGCGACACAGGACCCACTAGCCTGGGCTCAGCCCACTGGCTTGACCTCAGCTCACAAGGGACTCCTTGGATTAAGCTCAGGCAACACAGGACACACTGACTCAGGGTCATGCTACTGGGGCCGCATGACAGGGTATGTCATGCGGCCCCAGGCTAGGGTTGCTAAGTAGGACATGCAGATGATGCACAATGCACACAATGTGAAGGAGCTGGGGTTGAGCAAGGCA